GGGGTGGGATTCAAATTTTTAACAACCGGTTCTGTGGGCATGGCTTAGTTGGTGGGCATGGCTTGGTGGTCATGTTATTGGCTGGGCGTGGCCAACTCATTATCACTCACATTGAGACACACATCTCCTCGCATGACGTCTCATGACTGTGGGGATGCTGCAATAGTTGTAAGCGTGAAAAATGATCATAAGTCACTTTTTTCAGTGCCATTGTAACTTTGAATGGTCACTCCACACAAGCAAATTACCAGCAAAGGAGGGAAAAATAACTCCAGAGAAGTTCCTGAGACAGGAAGTCTAGTCCTGGCAAGAATGTAAAAAGGGTTAACAGAGAGGCAGTTTCTGTAAGCAACACCAGAATGTTTCCTTCCTGCCTGCCTTACAGGATTAGGCCAGTAATTTCTTCTAACAACCGGTTCTCTGAACTGCTTAGAACAGAGGTGGGCAACTATGGCCCCTTTATGACTTGTGGACTTCAACTCCCAAAATTCCTGAGCTAGCATGGCTTGCTCAGGAATTCTGGAAGTTGAAGTCCATAATTCATAAAAGGGCCATAGTTGCCCACCCCTGGCTTAGAATGTTAACAACCGGTTCTAGCGAATAAATGCAAACTGGTAGAATCCCACCCCTGGTTCAAAGCATGGGAAACAAACAGAGAAAACCTGGACTCCTAGTATATGAGGGCAGGTATGATATTGTTGCTATTACTGAAACTTGGTGGGATGGAACCCACAATTGGAACATAGCACCACATAGACATTTTTTTCAAAAGAAACAGACTCAACCAAAAGATGAGTTGCATTGTATGTAAGAATTATTACACCTTTACAGAAATAGATGATACCAAGGATGAAAGCCTTCTTGAAAGTATTTGGGTGAATATTAGAGGGAAAAATGACATTGTTATGGGTACATACAGTACTAAAGGCCACCGAACCGAACAGAGAAAATAGATGAACTTTTTGCAAATCGATTAGCTCAGGTGTACAGGAAACACACCATTGTAGTACTGGGGGACTTTACTTAACCTAACCTCAACCTAGGAACTAACTGCAGCAAAAGATTGAATAGATTCCTAATGTATGTAGCTGACAACTTTGTCATCTGAAAGGTGGAGGAGAGAACTACAGGAGCAACTATACTAGAGTTAATTCTTACTAATAGGGATGAAATGGTTGAGGGAATTGAAGTCTTAGGAATCTGGAGGGAGAGTGACCATGTCATACTAGAATTCACCTAAAGCAGGCACAGATAACTGAACAGCCAGACTAGTGTTTTAGACATTAAGAGAGCTGACTTCAACAAAATAAGAAAGATAAAAGCAAGGATTCCATGGATGGAAGTCCTAGTGGGAAAATATTCCCCGGATACTTGGGAAACTGAAAAATGAGATAATAAAGACCTAAAAAAATACTACCACAGAGAAAGAAAAACAAGAGACTTCAGAAAAGACTCTCTGACAAGCTGAGGGACAAAAAAGGACAAGTACACATAATGAAAAGAGGCACACATAACTAGAACAGAATATCAGCATATAGCCCAAGTCTGCAAGGACTGAGTCAGGAGGTCTAAGGCTCAGAATGAACTAAGATTTGCAACAAATGCCAGAAATAAAAGCAACAAAAATCTTTCAATATGTAAGGAATAAGAAGAAAGTAAAGGAAATGTTTTTAGCCAGCTTTATAATTTTGTATGCTTTGGGTTGAACAATCCCATGCCTATTTGCACATTCTTGGGAGATAACGTTCTGGAGAAGAAGGCAATGGGTGCCTCAGAACCATTAGGCAGTCTGTGACTTAAAACAGCTCCTATGCCAAAAGGTGAGGCATCTGCAACTAAGACTAAAGGTAAATTTTTGTTGAATTGAATCAGAACAGCATCAGATGTAAGCAATGATTTGACTGCTTTAAAAACATAGGCTTCCCTAGGTCCCCAACACCAAGAGGATTGTTTGTCCAGCAGTTTATGCAGAGGTTCTGCAATGGAAGCCTTATGGGGCAAAAATGAGGTGTAGAAGTCAAGGGGTCTCAAGAAAGACTTGAGTTCAGTTTTATTAGTTGGTATGGGCGCATCGTGAATAGCTCATACTTTGGATTCAATTGGGTGAATGCCAGAGGCATCAACTTTGTAACCCAGAAATTCAACCTGTGCAGTGGCAATAATGCACTTCTCTTTCTTCAATTTGAAACCAGACTTCCTGAAATACTCGAGGACACCTCTGACTCTCTGTAATAACTGAGACTTGTCGGAGGCGGATATTTTAATGTCATCAAAATAAGGTATTACACCAGGTAATCCTTGAAGCAGCCTCTCCATCAATGATTGAAAAATTCCTGGGACCACACTGACACCAAATTGGAGGTGCCTACACCTAAAAGTGCCCCTGTGACTTACAATAGTTTGTAGTTCAGCAGCTGTGTCATCAACAGGGAGCTGTTGATAAGCTTGGGACATATCTAGTTTCACGAAAACGGTTCCTGGCTCAAAAGAATGCAGCAGGTGCTGGATAACTGGGACTGGATTTGTGCTGATATGCAAATATTTGTTTATGGAACACTTGTAGTCTGCGCAAATTCTCCAGCTGCCATCTTTTTTTAGGGGTGTCACTATTGGGGTTTCCCATTTTGCAAAGTCCACAAGCTCTAATATTCCCTGGTTAATTAATTTATCCAGTTCCTTGTCCAGCTTAGGGCGTATTGCAAAAGGCACTCTTTGAGGCTTTAAACAGATTGGAACTGCTAGAGGGTCCAAGTTGAAAGATATTGGGGTTCCCACGTAACAGCCTAGGCCTTCGCTGAATACATCAGCATAGTCTTTAAACAAGGCATCCATCTCTGAATTGGCAATAGAGTGGATTCCGCCTATATGAAGGCCAAGGGCAGGGAACCAGTCTAACCCTAACAGGCTTGGGAGGGCACCATCCACTACCACCAAAGGCAAGGTGACCCTTAAAATTTTGAAAATGAATAAAAAACTTGCCTTTTCCGATGACTGGGATGGTTCTGCCTTGGTAGTCACATAGGGTTAAGTTGCAGCCTTGAAGCCTCTTCTTTGCCATCCAGGGAAGTAGTCATTTCAAGGTGCTCCACGAGATGATGGAGAGTGCTGAGCCAGTGTCTACTTCCATCCTACAAGGCTTTAAAGAAACAATAACACTGATTTTGTTAGAACCGTTGTCTGTCTACTTAGCTTGGTAGCAGGTGAAACAGTCTTCAATTTGTTTTGGGAAATGCTGAGTTGTCTGAGGTTGATGTGGCTGGGGAAAAGTCTTTCCTGCCTGACAGATTCTGGCTAAATGACCCTTTCTCTGGCATTTTAGACAAATGGCATTCCTGAACTTGCAGGATGCCCTGGGGTGATTCCCTCCACAGCTTAGACAGATGGGCTGAGATCGTGGAGGTTAATTGGGAACAGACCTGTTCCCCCTCTGACTGGTTTTGGGCTGCCTGAGGTGATTTACATCACTAGTTTCTTCAGAACCTTCCTCTGTAGAGGCTGCATCGTAATGAAAGGTTGAGCTGTTCTGGCTGACTGGATTTCCCTGAATTCCTGCTGCTGAGAGTGCTGACAGCTCTGCAGCTTGGGATTCTTCTATTGCTATTTTAAGGGGCAAATCTCCTTTAGCCAGTAGGCGCCTTTGTAACCTTAAGTCCCTGACTCCACAGACTAGTTGATCTAATAACATGTCCTCCAGATAATCTCTAAACCCACAGTGCAAGGCAGCTGTTCGTAAAGCTGCCATATACCCACTAATAGTCTCTCTCTCAGCCTGGGTCCGTCTCCTAAAAGCATGACGCCTGACAATATGAGAGAATAATGGTTAGAAATAATTTCCTGCAATTCCTCCCATGGAACAGTCTTAATTGAACGCGGTGCCAGCACTGCAGTAGCAGTGTCAAACACTGTGGCTCCACAAAAACTTAAAAAGTACAATTTTTTCCTGTGGTCAGAAATATCAGCGAGGTCAATAGTGTCTAGGAAGCAGTAGAATTAATTTATGTAGGACTCCCATATCTCCACTGTCTGTCTGAAAGGCGGGAATGCACGGTTTGAAGTCATCCCGTCTCAGCAGTGCCAGGTTCTTCTGAGGGAAATTGAAATTCATGCTCGCGAATAGTGACAGTAAGCTCTTAAAGTGACATACAGCTCGGTAGTGGCTTTGGCTCTTTTTGAAGTGACTTTGCTCAGCGATTTTGCTCGGTTGCCTCTTAGATGTATCCCGCCCTCGTCGCCAGTGTAGAGTGAGTGGTGGAATGACAGAGGCAACACAGAGAGCAACTTCAGCTTTAACTGTATTGAAACAATAAAGGGTTGCCGCAACTGCCGTGCTAACAGGGCCGCCAGCTGGTGGGCAACAACTGACGCCGGTTGACAGCTCCCTTTTATAGTCAGCTGTCAAACGGCGTCAGCCAATAGGAGCGGTCCACGCTCTTGCTGGAAACACGGACCAGAATGAAAACTTCTGCTCAGTCCTCTCAGAACGCAATACTATTGTCTAAACCCAATCCTGCCATTTGGGTTGACAGATAACACTCATGCCTCTATATAACAACTTTATATATCTGATGGCCACTATCATATATCTGTCTCCTTAACCATTTCTTCTAGGATTTTGCTTTAAGGCCTGCATCCTTCTTGGTAGCCCTTCCTTGAATTTGCTGTAGTTTGCTGATATCCTAGGCCGAAGTTCCAGAAATAAATACAATATACCAAGTGAGGCCAGACCAAGGTAGAGTTGAATGGAATAACTGATTTCAGAGACCTCAGTTCTATGTTCCTATCAATATATCTCAAAGTAGCATTTGCCTTTTTAAAATGTATTATTCATTGTTTTAAATAATTGATAACAAAGGAAAAAGGACAGAATAAAAACAACATGATTATATTATACATCACATATATACATTGACAATGTAAGTTGTCAGAGAAGAAAAAAATATCACATAATGTGCTTTAACAATAAAAATAAATGTGACAAAGAAAAATATATCATTATAACAATAGTTACAGTTCTATATGTATTTGCCTAATACAAATATTATTCAAGCATATATTTCTAAGACACCTATTTAACTATTTTTTAACTTTCTGTAGAAATTTCTTGTCTACATAGATAGGTAATCTGCTCATTACTAGAAAGTGTAATCAGTTTTCAATCCATTGAATGTGGAGCCATACACTTATTTTTCTAATGCTGCAGTATGAGTCTTTTAGCTATAGTAAGGGCATGGAGAATCCATTTATGTTATATGATTGTCAAATTTCATTGCTGGGTATTGTATGCAGTTCAAAAGAATGTTTTTGAAAAAATTAGCTTTTATCACACAATCATATTTATACAATCCACTACAAAAAAGCCAGTTTCCAAATAGAAAAGGAGGTGTACACCCATAGATTCCTTTCAGATGGACCTTTTGCTTTCTATCCTCCTTAGCATACCTTTTTTTTAATTAGAAACTAGATGAAAAAGTAATAATAAAATACAAAAAGGTTTAGAATAAAAAATGACACTATTTGAATTTACGGTAAAATTTCACAGGTAAGGCAAAGGGATTGCCAAATAAAATTCTTGTAGCATTCTAAGCATCTCTAAATGTCTTTCAAAACTAGTCTGATTTATTTATTGCTTTCTTTTTAAAGGTACTAGAAATTATTTTATTTATGAGTTATATGAAGTAATCAGAAAAATATTTTCCTTTATACGAATTATGAAATCATTAATGAAAGTCTTCAAGGATTACAATTTAAGCTGAGGCTCAGCCAGGTGGCAAGGCATTCCCCATAGACGGCTTTTGCTCCACATTAATCAAATATTAATTTAAAACTTCAAATGAATGAAAACTCACAGATTACTAAATCTCCTGAGCCATTTTGAGTAGTCCTGGTAGAAATGTTGTTTGTGCATTCACAACTGGGAGCAGCTTTTGAGATACAGGTAGTCCTTGACTTATGACTACAACAAAGCCCAGAATTTTTGTTGCTAAGTGAAACATTTGTTAAGTGAGTCATGCCCCATTTTACAACTTTGCTTGCCACATTTGTTAAGTGAGTCACCGCCGTTATTAAGTTAGTAACATGGCTATTAAGTGAATCTGGCTTCCCCATTAGTTTTTCTTGTCAGAAGGTCAGAAAAGGTGATCGCATGACTCCAGGACACTGCAACAGTCATAAATATGAGTCAGTTGCCAAGCGTCTGAATTTTGATCACATGTCTATGGGGATGCTGCAATGGTCATACGTATGAAAAATGGCCATAGGTCACTTTTTTCAGTGCCATTGTAACTTTGAATGGTCGCTAAATGAACTTTTGTAAATCAAGGACGACCAGTATTTGTACCAATCTTGTAAAAAACATGTTACATTTTGAAGAAAGGTGCGTTGTTTATGGTAACCCTGAAAAATATAGTTTGACATATATGGTCATTAGATAGCAAAATTCATCAGTGAGCTAAAATTCATTCCAATTCAGAGCTTCCCTCCTCTTACGTCCCTTCTTGTTCCACATCCGTGTGAAGGTTGTTGCCTTTAAGGTTGGTGCTGTGGCTGAGGGAAAGATTCACATGAGAGGGAAAGAAGGTAGTACAAGTGCATGCAATTTTCTCAAGCAGCCCGGTCTTCCAATTTTGACCCTAAGGAATAGTTTAATAATGAACCAATGAGCAAGTATCTCTTTCAATTTTTTTTTTTTTTAAAGCGTTTAAAATTATCATATGATAAATTCATGGGTATTGAAATCCACACATGTTAATGCCAGCAAGGTTAAGAAATTCTGCTGCAGGATATCAATTTCCAACTTTTATGCAAGCGGGATAAAGATTTTCTTGTGGGAGAAAATCAGAAGTTTTGTTAAAAGAACCCACATTCTGATATCCTAGCCACTGCTTTATTCTCAGATAGAATGAACTGGAAGCTTTGACCATTGACTTTACCTCTTACCCAAACTCTCAGCAGCGTTTCTACTCTTCCACAGGTGTCTTTACTTTTCCCCTTGAGGCTGGTCAGACCTCCTTTTAGCCAGAGTCTTTGTGGATTTTACTTCACTAGCTGTTACCGACTATAAGGGGCAGTGCTCATCTCTTTTTCAAGACATTTCCACGGTCATGTGGCCAGCATGATGTTATGCAATGCTGTTATCATCCCACTGAAGTGGTACCTATTTATCTACTCACATTTGCTTGCTGGTAGGTTAGCAGGATCTAGGGTGAAAACGGGAGCTCATCCCATTGTGTGGCGCCCAGGTCTCAAACCTGGGCTACCGGCTTTCCAGCTAACAATCACAGTGTCTTACTTGCTGAGACACTGTGCCTTCTAGCTGACCAATGAAGAAATGCTAAAAACAGGAGATAACTCCAATTCTTCCTAGTGCTTCCTTCACTGGTTTTGCTTTTCATACTGAAGGCAAAGAGTTATTGCTGTTGACACCCACAACAGCAATCAGCCCTTAGTCAGGGGTATTGCAAAGCTGTCTGTCTGAGCAGCAAGGAAGCCATGTGGGATTGGGATCAAAGTGCCATAAACTTCCACTTCGGGAAAGGACATCCCAGGGGGTGGCTTGCCTCATTC